TATAACACATTCAATATATTAATAAATATTAGCAATTTATCCTCATAAATTTGCACTCCTGTTAAAAGCCCATCGCCAGCCAAAATAAAAATGAGATTAGTATTCCTAGTTTGGCAATGTATGGGGGTGCTCCAAAAGCAATGCCTCCTGTTTTATTATGTTGGCCCACAAGGCCAGATGTCAGAGGTATGGCAGTAGAAGCTGAACCTTCCAGCCAATATTCCATTAGATTTTGTTGCTGCACAACAGACAGCAGCAGAGTGGCAGTCTGACAAAGCAAAGATGTGTCACTGAATTGCTTTGTGCAGAAAAAAATGGCACCCTTTGACATGCATTGATGTTTGCTGAATGTTTATGGAAACCAAACAGTGAATGTGAGTGAGTGATGTGTTTCAGCAGTGGCAACAGCAATTCACATCCATTGGTGTAGATGCGTATGAGCACAGCATGCAGGTTGTTGCTCATCGCTATTAAAAATGTAGAGCTAACGGTGGTGACTGTTGAAAAATAGTTTTTGATAGCAGAGAATTTGCTCTATATATCTGTTGTAATTTCCACAGAAATAAATTGGAGACATTACTTTCAACATGATCTATGTACCATTATCAATTACTTTATGTCACTGCCCATCACCAGGAACCTTTGATGTGGCCCACTGATTCATAGGAAAGTCTATTTAGTTCACTGCATACATTCATGTATAAATGGGCAATAAAAATTTTTAGTAGCCATTCCCTCTGACTTTTCTTTGAAATTCCACCAAAAATTCCCTCATTTCCTGAAATATGATGATTATTTTTCCATATATGTCTAAATCTAAGATATGTAAGAAGATAGCCTTTTAAAACACAGGCATGCATTCTAAAGCATGACTTGTGAAACTGAATTACCAACAAGTGCCAAAATAGAGTTTACTATGTGCAGTGAGTAATAAGGCTCAAGTTTTTGGTTTAGGATGCTTATGGCATTGACAAAATATGCTGTAAGGCCTGAAAAGGCTATCTGAAGTATGATAATGTGAGCTAAAATAATCATTACGTCACCTACACTGTTGTTCCAAGCCAAATGACAGGTTAAAGCACTTGAAAGAAGAGACAAAAGAAAATGAAAGCCATTGGAAACGTAAAAAAGAAAGAGTACCAGAGAAAATATTTTGATAAACTAGGATGAAAGCACTTGAAAGACACTAAGGATGTTTACATCAGAACTGAAACTAAGTGCCAAGACACTTGAAACATCTATTTGTGTAAGTGCAAAAAGCATTCATTAGAACAGGATAAATGTCAACATACTGGGCAGTACACTTCATCCAATTTTGAATATGACCTTAAGTCATAAGAAGGAAAAGAACAAAAGCAAAATGTTTGCACACTATGAATTAAGGTAACAATACTCAAAATAGGGATACGTGAAGAATCTATTGAAATTCCACAAAGAGGGAGAAGTAGGCATTACATACTGATGAGAGGTATGATTGGTGCCTAACAAACATGCTCTCTATGTCCGAGAGTTTGAAATACAATTACATTATTTTGTAGAAATGATGCACGCACAGTACCATTCTGCAAGAGGAAGCCAAGAGCAGCCAATTCATCATTTTTCCTCTTCTCCACTCCATTCTGATCTTAAACATCCACTCAGTACATATGCACACCCTAAGTTTTTCAAATCAAAACACCATTTTAGAACCAAAACAAATGTTGGTGCCTAACAGTTCACATCCACCACTGATCTACAGCTATATTAAATGGGAAACAAGGGACAACAGAAACTCTCTCCTTCCTTTTGAAATATTTCATAGTAGGAGACGCTGCTGCGTTAGTCAGTCACAATACATACAAAACTTCATGGCTTTTAAACTAACAAACACATCAGAAAAAGAGATCAACATCTGTTACAAGGCTAAACCCACTTTTTCCATTTTTAAGGTGATTAAACACTGTTTCTTTTCAAAATTAATACTCCTAACGTATTGCTTTATCTGATAGATTTCTGCCTGATAAAGTTATGCAAGAATACATTTGTTTCCTAATGAATAAAGCAGGTAACAACACCTAAAAATTCCCCAAGATTACCAGGAACAGAATGTGTTCAGAAGAAATGAGCTAGTAGGATTTTCTTGATTGTTTTTAATTTCACCAAGCTTAAAACTTTCTTATTTTACCTGGGGGAATAAACATTCATTCACTTGTTTGTTCTCTTGAAAAGTAAATTATTCCCTTGTAGAACAGTGGGATATTTCCCTTACCTCTTCATTAGCACCAGTTTACCGAAACAGTTACGCAAAATCTGAGCACTGCAGTGCCCTGCAGTTACAGAAATAAACAAGGTTTGCATTTCTCAACATTCAGCAGTTCTTTACAGCAGGTCCAGAGGCTGGAGCTTCAGCATTATAAACACAAATGCATGGTTAGTCATTGAGAAATAAAAAAATACATTATTCTGCTAGTCTATAGAAAAAAAATTACTTTTACAGTAACTGTTTGTCCTCTGGAAATGAATTATAGATGTCACCCAAAGCATTCATTACTGGCTCTGAATGCAGATATACATGCAGAAGCTACTCGAAGGTGATTCCACATCATCTCAAGTCAGGCAACTGGGAGTTTGATTTTCAGAATTACAGAAGATATAAATAGTACTGAAGTCTACAGTTTATCAGTGCAAGTTTGCTACTTTGTCTGCTTATTGTTTTTTATGAAAAGCATCATATCTCACAAACCACACATTGGCCCCATCTCTTATTCTCCTGTAACCTCCATCTCAACACATCTTCTTATTGCAATAATGCCTCCTGTAAACAACGTTCTACGCTTTCTCTGCTTTCCTACTCCCTGTTCCAGCAATGCTATTCATCAGCACCAAGAGAAAGTATTGAAACTGAAATTTCATAAAGTGGATTCAAGGTGCAAGAAGAACACCATTCTTCAAGCCAGCTGCCTTTGTGACACTTTTCAAACTCAAAACCAAAGCATAAAGGATTGGCAGAGATACTGACAATAGGAGGGCATCAAAATCCACAGATGACTTAGAACTTATTCAGCACAAGCATTAAAATGGTAGCTATCATTTTACTTCTACTTGAGTCAATACCAGTTTAACATAATCCTCTGGTCTTTACATCACAGACTCTGGTAGTAGAATTGCAGGAAAAAAATCTTACTCAAGCGTAACGCTTTGAACTGTGAATATCCTTACTGAAAAAAAAAATAAAATCTGTTTATCTCACTGAAAGTGAAGTGCTTTCTCCACTTATCTGTATTTGAAATTGTCACCTACCTACCGTACATGAAAGATTTCTCACCACATCCCTCCATAGCTGCCCCCTTTCAGACAGGCACCTTTTTGCAACATACCATATTGTGCATTTATTACTATGGAGCACCATCAGTTATTATTTTCTTTCTGTAGAGACTGGGCACCTTAGACACATGCAAGCTGAAAGTATTGCAATTTTTGGCATGAACATGCTCATTAATCACAGTTGATTTCAAATCCGGAGTAAAATCATCATTGTGGCATTCTCAGACAGTCACAAAAGACAAAAAGATACAGATGTAAAATCCATCACTGAGAAACAGCAGAAAAGAAAGGAAGAACATCTCTGGCTTTGCACACAAGTATGCCATCATTTGATTTTGTGAATAACTATAACGTTATTTACAGGAAAATTTATTGCATCGTGTTAGAAAATCTTTCTCTATGCATCATACAAGCATGATGCATGGGATAAATTCACACTTATGAAGGTTTTCCTGCTGACACTGTAACTCTGTAACTCCTAGTAATTTAATTTGCAGCGTAGCCTCAGACTTGGCACTCTGGATATGTGTTTATTGATGTTCCTTTAAGAACTTATTCACATAACAAAAGCCTAATGTATAGAATCAACACAATTACTAATAAAGAAGTCTCATTACATTGAACAAATTGAATTTTTTCCTCAAAAATCAGTGAGAAATTCAAAGGAACAATTGCAGCTCAGGATCTAGATCGTGGATCACACAAGAATACTGTACTCCCTCGATACAGTGACGCTCATATCAACTTCAGAACTCTCACATGGTGCCCTCCTTTCTGAAATATATCTTCTTACATCCCTCACCTACTATTCTGTTTAGAGAGACAGCGTTTGAATAAGTAATCCTTGTCTTCTTCAGATCCCTTCTGCCACCTTCAAGAGCAAACAGATGGCTAACTATGATGAGTAGGCTCTACCCACACAAAAATTCAAAAGAAAACAAACAAGTATTCACTTTACAGTCACTTCTGCTCTTTGAGCTGTTCTGCCCATACAGCTTCCACTTGGTATCACAGTACAGCTCTGGTCTTCCCTGAGCTCCAAATGGCACATGGGAGTGCAGTGTTCTGCATTCTTCAAGTTAAAGTAAAGGCAGAAGCTATTTGTGCCTCTGTGTAGCTTTTCGTGCATGTAAAGCTACCCCAAGCTACTATGCAAGAGATACATTATCTTGAACCACCTGTTACAGATTAAAGAGCTTCCTAGTTGTTCAATTACCTTTTTTAAAAGAAAAAAAAAAATAATAAAAAAATAGAAAATAAAGTTAACTTCACAGAATCATAGAAATAGAAATATAGAATATCTTGGGTTAGAATTGTCTTGGATTGGAAGGGACCTCAAAGATCAGCAAGTTCCAACTCCACTGCCGCAGAGACTTGAAGTGAGCTATTAGATTAATTTAGTTCAACTGAACATTACCCATATTTATAGAAGGAAACAATAATTGTGTTCATTTTGTACCATGTTCATCTCTGTGCTTCAAAAACATTACAGAGGTTCATATAAACGAATAGCAACAAAGTCAATGACAAATGCAAAATTCTTCAAAATAAGATTTCATCAAAAGACCAGGATATTGAGCAGCTTAGTAATAATTGCACATTCAACCCAGGAAACATCCACAATATGGTGGGGGAAAAAAAAAAAAAAAAAGAAAAAGAAAAAAAAGGAAAGAAAAGAAAAGAAAGTTTTCCATTACCTTACAAATCCTTATATCCCATGCTTTAACTTCTGGACTGAATCCTCCACAAATGAAAACATTCGAATCTGTAGGGTGGAACTTCAGTGTGCTGATTCTAAATTCATTTTTACTGCTGATGATTTGCCTCCCTAAAATAAAGTGAGAACTGAAAATTAGAATTTGATCAAAAAAAAGAAACTAATTTCAACCACGTTTCAAAAATACCTAGGTTGTTAAAGGTGAATGTTTCTATTTGAACATTTCAAGTGTCTGGGACTCCTCTGGTTTTCTGAAAACATAAGATTGAAATCAGTAATTTCTTCCCACATTAAACAAATCCTGTACCACTAACTGCTTTTTACTGACAGAACTTTTTACTGAGAGGAGAGAATCAGAAGGTTGGCAAACGAAGGAGAGGAGCTCCACCAAAGTCCCCATTCAGCTGATAAGGCTAAACCTCCTAAATCTAATAGAAGAATATTTCCCAAAAAGAAGTCACAGTCTTTCTTTTATCAGTGGGATGAAAATAATAACCATAAGAAAAGAGTACTGTCCATGTAGAAATCCCACATTCCAAAATGTACTACAGCTATGGAGTGGTTTATATTTCTGTGAAGGGAGGATTGAGCCTCCAACTTGAAAGAAGGCAATAATTTGCATATCTTATGAAGGCAATAGCTGTTCCCATGGATACACTGTTCCCAACATTTAATTGTTCACGCTAATCTTCACAGGATCCTGTGGCTAATATCAATTGTATTGTACACTCTTTCAAAGACAACAGAATTTGTCAAGGTTAATTTATAGGACTTTTCCACAGTCCACTGCCTTTGTTCTAACAAATTCATGACATTAATGTACATTCACTGAACTATTATTTTTGGACTAGCAGCATAGATAAATACTTCATTTCACAATTTCAACTGTGTGTTATCTTCCACATATCAGATGGAGCAGCCCTTCAGTATCTAAAGGGAGGGCTATGAGAAAGAAAGGGGCAGACTCTTTAGCAGAGTCTATTGTGACAGAACAAGGAGAAATGGTTTCAGACTAAAACAGGAGAGATTTAGGTTGGATATAAGGGATATAAGAGTTAAGTTCTTTACAATGAGGGGGAGGGGGCAGGGGGAGGCACTGCAACAGCTTGCCCAGAGAGGTGGTAGATGACCTGACCCCTGAGACATTTGCTGGACAGGGCTTTGAGCACCTGATCAGGTGTAGGTGTCCCTGTTCATGGCAGGGGAGTTGCACCACAAGAATCTCTTCCAACTAAAACAATTTTATAATTCTGTGATTATAAAGTTACAGTGAAGAAGCCACTGGATAAGGAAGTATTAGGAAGGAAAGCTTATACTATTACAAAGCTTCTCAAAATATTCATTAATCCAGATTTTCATCAAGTGAGAGACGCCTTAAGAGTCTTAAACAACTGAAAGTACTTTGAGCTAAAAACATTAGTGATGAGTGTAAATATTTCCGGTTAGGTCAACAACACTGAAAATTTAGCTTTTTTCATGCTTACTTTATGGTTTAGAGCCAATTAATTTGATTTCATCATCAGTTCCACTTTCACCATCTGCTCAAATAAGCTTACACAGTCAAGAGAATAAGGCTTGTCAAATTATTTACTTATTCATTGTAAAGAAAAGAAGAGATAGATTGTACTTCATCACATGCATACTCTTTGAGCTGGCACTGGCAAGGAAAATAGACTGCAGGGATTTTAAGGAGAGGAGTTTGCTGCTCCTCTAATGTTGCACATGAACATAGTTTGCTTTTTTTTTTTTTTTCTCCTTTTTTAACGGTTCAATCTGTGTGATCTCTGATCATCCATGCAAGATCTAAAGGTTCTCTCTATCACTACTGAGGGGAACACTTAACTCAATCCTCAATATTCCTTCCCCCAAAAGAAAAAGAAGGTCACAAAGACAACAGAGGCCTTCTCTTCAAAACGTGTGCAACATTGATCATCTTTCTGGGAGCTTGTAGCATCCTAACAACGAGGTAAGAGAAAAAAGACTCCATGGAAAAGGAGAAGTTATTAAAATCATCTGTAATAGGAGCAACAAAACGTTACTCTAATCTGTGCCACTAACAGGCATCATTTGAAGGCTAGCAAAAAGCTGCATAACTGTGCATCTTACTCAGTCCTGCAAATTACTTGAAAAAAATTACTGAATTTGCACACAGAGGCTCTCTAGTTGGTTTAAAAGCACTTTGCTTCCAAGGAATTATGTTTGTGTAAATTTAACAAAGGAGTTTAAACCATGTTTATATGGTACTGTAATCAGAAATTTGAAAAAGTATAGCCTACTTGTACTACCCTTTTCAAACAAGAATTACAACATGAGATCAAGCAGTCTGATCAAGCATACCATTCAAACAGTATTGCATATATATGCAAGTCGCTCTGAAAGTAGTGCCTCCTTTTTCTTTCCGTGGAAACTACAACAGATACAAAGAGCACAAGAACACAATTTGATAGGGTAGTTCTCAGCTACAAAACACTATTTCTCAACATAGTCACCACCATTAGCTGTGCATTTTCACCAGCCATGAACAACAGCCTTCATGGTGCGCTCATAAAAATCTGCATCAGTGGAGGTCTGTCACTGTCATTATGCTGAACAAACCCCCCACCACCACATTGTGCTCACATCCACTGTTTGGTCTCCATTAAACATTCAGTAATGTCAATGGGTACAATTGTTTCCACATGGAGGAACTTAGTGACACATCTTTGTTTGCAACACAATGTTGCAATGTAACTGAATATTGGCAGGAAGGTTCAGCCTCTACTACCATACAGCCAACAACCATCTCTGATGTTGTGAGCCAACAGAATAAGCAATACTTTTGCAGCAGCCCTCATATTTAAAGACCCAGTGGTCTTGTCATCTTGAACCCTGAAGAACATTAACTGCTCAACTGAATTTACTGAGATCTAGTTTTACCTCCGCAAGACTTCTGTCTGTTAAAATTAAACACACTCAACTTCCGGGGCCTTATTTTATATACTGCAAAAGATGTTCTTTGAGCAGAAGAATCTCTTATCTGCAATAGAGTACAATGGTTGTAAATCAGCAAGCTTGTATATATCTTTATTGTGTATGTATTTACTGCATGTTAGTTCCTACAGATAGTGTATCAAAGGCCAGACCAAAACTCATCAAGTACAGAAAATCCTATTTTCTGAAACTTGATTTGGCTAGGGAAGACACATGATCATTTTCCTCAGTGAAGACTGTTATTCCAAAGCAAACAGTTCCCTCAATCTTTAATTTTCGCATTTTTAGTAACAATACCTACTACATCTTTGCATTGTGTTTTGTACAGTACTTTAATTCAATTCTTCATTCATTAAAGGCTCACCAGCAACATACACAGTGTGAAAATATCCTTAAAGAGATCCTGAACATATGTTTCTGCTCATTTTATGCTGCAACCTACTGTGAAACTGCTCAACTATGAAATCAGATATTTTAAAGGCTATTTAACATTGTGAATTTTTCACAGAACATCAGAACGGTTATCGAGCACAGGCTGCTTCTGTAACTGTGTTGAGTGGTCCTAAGGTTCACACTCCTACCTGCAAAATCCAAAACATTCACTTCCATACACTAATCAGTAAAGAAAAGTGGCAAGGACATGAGAGTAATTTTGCAAAGTAGATTAGATTTCCCTATTGTGTTTACAAAAAGACATGAGACAACACTTTAAAAAAAAAAAAAAAAAAAAAAAAAAAAAAATCTCATTACAGTGACAACCTCTCTCTCATGTACAACAGTGAGAAGAAAATTAGATTGATCAGACATGATTCGTTCTTAACAAATTGATGTTGGCTGTTAGTTGTCCCTCTTATCTTGCTGTGCTTACAAATTGTTTAGTTATTTCTCGAAGGAGTAAAGTTACAACAATTACATGTATTTCCTATTTGTTTTTCCCTTACGTAGTCATAAATTTTTAGTACTTCAGCTATTAAATCTTTTACCTTTCGTCCTTGGAAAAATTTCAAAAATAACCTCTCCCCCTTCTTAAAAGGAATTCACACTTCTGAATATAAAGACTAATGAAGTGCTACCTCCTCGCTGGAGGATGACCACTAATGCATGTTCAACATATTACTCAAAACTGCTGGATTTTTGGGTGGACTGTTGTGACCTCTCAAAAATGTCCGTGCACATTCAAAAGGCTAAAATAAAATAATCTATTAAATGTTATTTTTTGTGAGATGTCACATAAAATATTCATGCTAGTACTATCATGCTATTCATGCCTAATACCATATACACAGTAGTAGAAGAAAAAAGGTAGGAACAGGAGGAGAAAGTCACAGAACTTGATGTTTATTTATGAACACTAAATTTTCTATCTGAGCAAACGGAATTACATTAGCAATAATCTTGTTATAACTATAGGGCTAACAAACTTGAATAGAAAAGAAAACAGAAAAGTAAATGTGGACCATCCTCATGAAGGTACAAAATATCCCATTAACAAACTCTCAACATAATTTAAAATAAAATAAATTTAAAAACAGCAAAAAATAAAACAGATGCAAGTGACCATCCTATCTCACCACATAAATAAAAAATTTCTTTTCAAACCTATGACTACATTTCTGTGCCCTGCCTATGGAAATGTGAAATATTTCAAAATAATTTAAATTCCCCCACTGGAACTCTGAGCATGTTACATTTGAAATCAAGCTCAGTACATGAAGAGAAATACAATTGTAGCTTTTGGCAACTTGGGAAAAGTGCCAAAGTTTCTTGGAACATTCCCTCTCTCATAATATTAAAGAATGAAAAGTATCTATAATACGCAGATAATATTAATCCAGCCACTGTTCTGCCTATGCTATTAGTGTTTGCACTGTTTCATTTGTGACTAACGAAAAATCCACTTATGAATAAAATATTCCAAGAATAAAATAGATATAAATAACTTTTAAAAATATAACTCCCCTTCTAAAATTGGTAGAGAATTTGCACTTCATTTGGATGTAACAAGGTAAACGTCAAATGTGTCTGACCTTGAATTGTTTATAAAATAAATTTTGTTAGAATAAAATGTTCAGTGCTCTCTGAGAATATTAATTGCTATTCGGTGAAGAAATAAAACACTATCAGAATTGTCACTAGTAGAACAGGAATATAGATGCACTGCAAAACGTACACAACCAAGGAGACCTGTTGGTTCATATGCTGCAGTACCAATCTCGCATTTCTGAAACCTTTCAGAAAGTTTATTTTTATAATGAAAAAACACAAGTGAAATAGAACAATTAAAAATATCAATCATTATTCTTCACAAGCAACTCATTTTTTGGATTTACTAATATTTATGAACATCATACTGCAGCTCTGAACTTTCCCCATGCTAATTGTTGCCACAGAACTGCTCCCATGAATAACTGAATTCCTGAAATATTTTATGCATACTTCAGATCAGACCTATACTCTGCAGAATAGAAACTGTTTCCATGAAAACCAAAGGTGTAGAGAGTCATAACAGGTGTTAGGATAGTGAATGACCATTTATGATAATAAAAAATAATCTATTAAAAATGCCTTTAGAAGATTCGAAAAACGTCTATTTTCAAATTCACTAAACCAGGGCAAGTTAACACTTTGTACCTCATTACTTGAATTCTCTTTGTTCCCCGTTCTTCCCCATAGAAGCACTGACCCTGAATCATAGCACAGTACGCTATGGAACAGGTTGCCCAGAGAGGTTGTGGATGCCCCATCCTTGGAGACATTCAAGCTCAGGCTGGAAGGGGCTCTGAGCTGTGGGCATTCATTGCAGGGGAGCCGGGATAGATGACCTCTAAGGATCCCCTCTAGCTCAAAAAATCCTATGATTCTATGAACCTAGCAAGTTAGACTTTCAGTGGATATCTAGTCTAATCCCTTACTCAAGATCAGATCTAGTTGTGGTAGGTTATGCAGTTCTGAAGTATGGAGACCTCATGGCCTCTCTAGAATGCCTGTTTTAGTGTTTGATGACCTTGATTTGAGACAAAGTTCGCAATATGCCTATGTTTGTTCTTCATCTCCCATCCTTTCAAAGAAGAGCCAGTCACTGTTTTCTCTATGATGGTACTTCCCGTTGAAAAACCTTCTAACGGGTTGTCATTAGACCCAGAACAAACAAAATGTTAGGCCATAATTTTCAGTTAATAAGGCAGAGAAAAATAACTCAAAATGCTTCCTTCAAATAAATAAATAAATAAATAAATCCCCACACCTTTAAAAGCCATTCTCTATAGTCTGTGAGGTTTCTTTTGATGAAAAAGATGTAGCAGTTTTTACAACACGTATGTAATATTGGGAAAAAAAATGTACTGAAAATTAAAATAAGAAAGATTAAAATTCAAAGTTGACTAAAATGTTGAGACAGAACAATATGCACAAGAAATGGGCACAGAACCTTAAAGACAGCATTATTTATAAAATCCCATCAGTACGCATTTACTGCATTTAAGACCATTGCTAGTTAGTTCAGTCTAGCTATGGAAAGTAATTAACAATGATGTCCAAAAAAGCATATAAAAGTCCTCTGTGAAGAAACAGTTCTACCATGTATCTGAAGTTAATGAAAGAAGAAATCATTTCAGTACAAATGAACAGCAAGGAGGAATGAATGATTCAGTGAATTAATGTAAATCAAAATCTTATAGCAGTCTTAGAGTTTTTCAAATGGAAATGAGTCTTTTTATATCAAATTGATTTGAATTCCAAAGGCAAACTGCTTGCCCGGTTTCTTTGGAAAGAATTAACTGAAATTATGAAAAGGAGTAACTTTACAACAGAGAAGGAAATGGCCTGGATGTGTATGAAATCTGAATAAAATTCCTATCCCTTACTCTCAGTTTCCAAGTCAGGTGAATATCAATGAAAGCCAGTTCGAAATATCAACAGTAGAAATGCATTTGACAGAAGAAACCCTGTATTCATGAAATAAGGCAATAATGAACACCCTCTATTTTAAATGATTCTGATAACTCACTATGCCTTTGAACACAGAATTTACTCATGCAGCAAGGAATAGCTCAGAGGTCAGTAAGGAAAGAGCCAGCTATAAGCTCAGCTGTTTTGAAACTCATGCTAAAAATTATGCTAACTATTGCTATTGTTTCCATCACCTAAAAACACTAGAAATACCTTCTTTCTAATAAAATAAACAACTACCATTCCATTCCTGGACAGTTACATGAGCAATTTTCAAAATTAAAATAGATCATTACAATTATGTCCTTTGGAATTTTTTCAATAACTTTAGGAAACAAGACTTTGCCCTGGCTGTCCTTTCAAATGGCTCAGGCACATAAAATGTGTTCTGTCACTATAAATCCCCTCAGTGACAGAAGCCATTCTGTTCTAGATTTATAAGCACCTCTGTTAAAAGTTAAATCCACGTAGATTAGTAAATTTCAGTTATATGTGAGTCTAGAAACAAGAAGACTGCTACAATTAAGGCTGAAAATAAGATAAAAAGTCTTGTAGTATAAATGGCTTGGTATATTACTTCATGTAACACTACTACATCAGATACATAACATTCTTCTTACTGTTAAAACCATGAATATTCTGAAAACACCAATATTGTATAACTGTGTCACATGTTTTACAGTATCTCCCTTCCAGCCATCACTGAATTTAAAAACTTCTTTGTGTGAGAAACAGCGAAAAAAATAAATTCCTATAGCATGGAAAAGAACCTTGCCTTGATGTGAACAATATTCACACATTTCCTCAACCATTTTCTCAGTATTCCCAGTTTATTCAATTCTCTGGATACTTCCATACAAATTCCTTCTTAATTTTATATAAGATAAAACCCTCTTAAACAAAAGCTTCTTGTCATTTTTGTCTGGATGTCTTTTGCAGTGTTATACAAAAAACATTGCATGTTTGCAGAGGTAAATATTTAAAAACAAATTAAGAAGGAAAAATAAAAAATTGCATCTCTTCAATAAACCATTTGAGGCCTAATCCCACATTTATACCCACACAGATGTGCTGTTACAAATGGTCCCAAAGAACACCACTGTATGAATGCTGATAACATAGATAAAGAAGTAATGCTCACAGAATCCATTTGGCTTGTGAAGGAAACGCAAGGAGGCAGAGCATTAGTTGAATATTGATTGTTGAGTTCACAACGTTTAAATTCCCAATCAAATTCATAATGCAGATTCAATCTCAAATTTCACATTGGAATTTGTGCTTCTGTGCTCTCTAGTTACATACAGAAGTCAATGTTAAGGGGCTCTGCAAACTCTTTAATGAATAACTGCAACAGCATAAAAACTACTCAGGTGTCATTCTGCCTACTTATGCAGTATCCGACAACAGAAATTGCGTGTGGTCACGAGGTTAGAGACATTCTGGTCTTTTTAAGAATCTTAAACTACCCTTAATTGTGAGAAACTTTTTAATGAAGGACATCTCAAGAATTCTAACCGAGATCTATAGATTTTATGCATGTTTTCAAACAAAGCTCACAAGATCCAAATCTATCTGCACTCAAAGGTGACAAATACTGCTAAAATGTACCAGTATGTGGCCTTTACCTGTCTCCACATCTGTTAGGTGCAGCATGGAATCAAAGCCGCCACTGAGGATCCTTCTTCCACAAGATGACCACTGGGCAGCTCGGACAGCACAGGAATGACAGGAAAACGTCCTCAAACAACCACCTGTGTCCACAGCATCCCATACCTTAAAAAAAGATAAGGGCAACTTGGATCGTTAAAAAAAGAATAATTTAAGTGTACCGATAACTAGCTAGAGCAAGTCACTTTCTGACTAAGAAAGCTTTGCATTCCAAATGCATATCTGTTAAGCTGTAAATATCTGTTTGAAATAATTGCATGGTTGATTAGAATTAAGGCATTTTATTAACAAGGCATGAATATGTAATGCATTTCCATGACTTACTTTATTTCTTGAAACATCTCTATTGCTCTCAGTGGCATTTTGTGTTATAATTTCCCATCTATATTTCTGCTTTTCTGTTCACAGATGCATCTAAATACCGTTTCTCATGTTTTCTTTGAAGTTTTTTTGCTTTTATCAGACCTTCCTAGCAGATTGCAGCTTCCACATCTGCCTATAAATGGGCTATAATCATCTTTCTCAGTCTTGCAGTTTGGAGTTTTAAGTAGAATTCGTCCTTAACTTTGCTGAGGAGTCATATAAGAATATCATCTTAGAAATATAAAGAAAGGATAGGCCTAAGCCCTCATTTTTCAGTTTATTTCGGACCAAATTAGATCAATGCTCAGCACTTCCGAAAATCTCATTCTAGTAGTTATCTGCTTATTTTTATATAACAACTAACATTTGCAGAATACAAATAGCTCAATTCATACTTTAAGAAGCATTTTAAAACATAAATCGTTTCCAACTAAGACATTTTAGAATACAGAACTTCTAGATGTAATTATAACTTCAATTACAGCTGTTATTTGGATTGTCTAATGAAATATATACCAACTTCTATAACACTAGTAAATCCTCAATTTTATTTCTTCTAATATTAATAGTACAAATAAGTCAACGCTTTGGTAGTGCTTCATGACAGGTTTATTACAGTATCAGTCAGAAAGTAAAACCCAAAGCAATTTATTGCTTTGAAGTCACCATTTTACTTCACTGTACTTCTCTTGGTAATTAGTCATTTCCACCCTTTAAAAACTAGCATATTTTAAATAACATTGCTTATGAGCTTGGAGGGTTACTCTGAATTTTGTCTAATCTAATTAACTAAATTTTAAGATTGCTTGTACAATACTGGGTACACACTAGGCAATTTGCAGAATATAAAAAAATGACCTTTTTAATAAGTGAGACCAATTTCTACTTTTAGATATGTCTACATGAGTCAGTACTGAATTACAATTGACTTGTGATTTTGATTTAAATTGATTTAAAATTTTGCCTTTTAAAATATGTTAAAACAATAACAATCCAGTAAATGCAAGAAAAAATAGGTATGTATATTGTAGCATCAGCACAATTCACAGAAAAACATACGCAAGAAAGGAGAAATGAAAACTTCTGGTCATGCATTTCTATTTTGAATTCTATTTTTCCTCACACTGGACAAAAAGGACGCAATACCATTATTAGACAGCCTATACTCAGAAGGCAATATTACATTATACAGAATTTTTTCATCCAAGGATCTTCTAGCAAAGACTATAGTTCTGCAACGCAAAGTAATCAATAACTATTAATTACTTGAATAGCCTGTTAAGGTTGTAACTGTGATGGCCATATCCAAAAAAAGAAAAGAAATCAGGAAAATGTAATATTAAGCTGCTTTTGAAAGCAAGTATCTCTGCTTTACTGAGTTTTAATGATCATTTCAAGCTTCATAGTATTAGAAAGGGTTAATTGCGTCTTGGAGTGCTTTTAATATGAAGAAGCTAATGAATGAATCCAGATGAAAGGAAAACAGGTGGCACGTGCCTCAGATATTTTTCTGTCATGTCTCCCTGATTAAGTATGAAAACTTAATTTTCACAAGAAGGATGAAATAAAGTAAGTTCTTAGCACTAGCCTGATTAGGGAAAAAAAACAACTGCATAAATGGGAAAAGTGCAGCCTTAAAACTGCACATTTCTCTCCACTTTTTGAAATGGAACTGATTGACTCATATGGATGAGACTACCAACCACATACCAGGGGAAAGTCACTCAATAACATATTTCTCCCTGCAATTATATTCTTTATCAGGTCCTTTTGCTCAAGCAAGAGCGGTGTTGCAATGCCTTCTGGTATCACAGCAACATGGACAAGGCAGACTTGACTGAGGACATTCACTTAGTTTACCTACCAATTAACATAGAATTGCGAACTCATAGAATCACAAGGTTGGAAAGGACCTACAAGACCATCCAGTCCAACTGTCCTCCTGCCACCATTGCTACCGCAAGCTACTAAATCATATCTTGTAGCACTTCATCCAGATGCCTCTTGAACAGTGCCAGGGACAGCAACTCCACCACCTCCCTGCAGGCCATTCCAGTGTCTGACCACTTTCTGAGAGAAAATGTATTTCCTTACATCTAATCTAAACCTCCTCTGGCACAACTTTCCATTGTGGCTATTTGTTGCCTGGGAAAAGAGGTCAAACCCCTCCTCATCACAACTTCCCTTCAGGAAATTCTTTACCAGGACCATACGCATTGCAGGGGGTTGGAGCTGGAGGGGCTTTTAGGGCCTTCCAATCCAAGCCGTCCTATGATGATTCTATGATTCCCTTTCACATGTCCTCCCACTTGTCCTCATGTTTCCTCAAGTGTGCCCTTGCATCTTCTGCACATAGTGGCTGCCCCCATCCCTAGCAACAGCAGATGGGGTCTTCCTGAAGGAATTTTTCAAATCTTTTGTCTGGTGGCTGTACTTCAGTGTAACATTAATACAGTAGTATGTGTCTCATTTCATCCGCAGAATAATTTCAAGTTTTTAAGTTTCCATGTTCATTTTCCCAGGACAAGGGAAGCTCTACTTGCTATTTGCAAGACAGATATTTGATATTTACAGTTAGCTCCTCAGCAATCACTTAAGGGACACAGTCATGCCCACAAAATGTCACATAAAGGTGAGCCATTGAAAATCAAGATACAAAAGTGCGTGCAGCACCGAAAACAAGGCAATTAAAGAACAAGCTTTGCACATTCTATACGCATAAGAAATTACCAAAAAGTGGGAACTATGAATGCTTAACTGTAATAGAATGTCTCTAACCCAAGTGATGAAAACTCTCTGCGCTTGAAAGCAATAGAGATGTTAACTGAGCTATGAGCACAAATGGAAAACCCACTGCATGTCATTACCAAATTTCATTAAAGGATCATCATAAAGACGACATCATATTTGCATTCTTAAGTAGTTCTTCATTTGTGTGGTATGGTTTTTCCACTGCTTTATCAAAAGAAATTAAAAAAAAAAGGAGGGGGGGGGGGGCGGGGGAGGGGGAAGGTTTTGCTAACAAGAGAATTCCATATACTCCATCAAATGCTTCAGATGATTGCCAGCTCCATAGCTGGTGCTTATTCTCTATGGGCATCCACACACATTAAAAAAGGAAGGAGACTGCTGCAAAGGGATGAATCTTGTTTATGCAAAATCACTTCTCTCTGACAAACATTCAAATGTCAGATTAACAGATTCTCCAGGACGAAAAGTATTTTAGGGCTTTTCTTTCAACCGCCTAAGAGATTGTTAAGTAGTTGAGGAATAATTTATGTGTAAGTCTTTCTAGACTTGCTTTCTTTGCTTTATTTATATGCTGGCTCAAGCCAGTATAGAACAATAAGGCTAAAATGAAAGTCTAAAAGACTGCATTGATGTATCCTGCAGAGCTGCAAAACACTCAACATGATGCCTGAACATGGATTCACATTCTCTAAATTACCATGGTAAATAATAAAAAAACATCATTTAACATTTAATATCAGTTAATCATTTAACATCATTATTTAAGTATAGAGCACAACAATTGTGCTGGTTACAATATACCCACCAGAATTCAGCAACAATTTTTTTTTTTCAAGTCTTGATAAAAGATACATGACAAGAATTCCCTAGAAATAAAGGACTATTAAAACTCAGCATCTAAGAACAGTGTATAAAAGTCACTACTGTTATAACTACAGCTTTAATCTCAAAGAAAATGGTTTTAAGAATTTAATCATCTTAAAATTACTTAGATTTATTTTATATACCAAATATTGCTGACCTCTAGGCATACTAGTAATATAAACCTCTAACATAAAGCTCTATAAAACAAACTTACAGATTTACGTGAAATAAAGGATTACATATTCAATACATAATAAAATACTTAGGCAGGGGGACAGTTCACTAAAAATAAATACAGGCTGAGATATACATATTTTTCCATAGGTGTTTAAACATGTATGCCAACTATTATAGGACTAAATGCCATCACATACCTGTGTGGAAGGACAAATCTATATTCAATTATCTTTACCGAGAGATCAATTGTTCTAAGTGTTGCTGCTTCCTTCCAAAACTCAGTTCTTACTGACACTCAGTACTATTTCTACCTGAAACAAATTCTCATTAAATCTGAAGTTGCTCTTTTATGTTGTGATGTTAGGTGTGATTTTAATTGCTGAAGTAAAAAGTTGAAAGCACAAATTTCAGCCCACTACTCTGAAAACTTTCCATCACATTTTCAAGCAACATTTTACATTATAAACCAGTAACCATCCATCCTTTCCCTTCACAAAGAACCCCCAAAACATTAAAATATGTGATTGCCATGAGTAAAAAGCATACATCATTGTATTAACTTCTTTAAATCAACGATTACAAATGAACTCTCCAAAATTTGAAAGAGAAACAGCCAAGATACAAAGATTTGAAATTAGCTAATTATTTTCAAAGATTTTCTTCAGTACATTTCTGGAATTAATGTATCATGAACACCTCAAACGCATTTTTTCCAATTTTGTTAAAATTGGCTTTGATGTGTCAAGCTCATTCATTTTTCACTATTAGTTCTTGCTCTTTTGCGATTCGCTATTTATAACATCGCCCTTCCATTTCTTTCTCCATTGACTGCTTTCATTACATTTCCTCTTCTATTACAGAAAGTATGGTGATTATATGGTTATCTGATAGGATTAATATACAACGCCAAAATGGCAGGTATGAACTGCCAAGGGACAAATTATACCAGT